CATCAAGGAACTCAAGTCGATGTGCTGCTCCCTGTACGACGATGACATGTTCGTCCAGATGGAATGGCATGTGCTGCAGACCTTGGACTGGACCATCGGGCATCCGACCATCGACAGCTTTCTTCAGGTTGCCGTCATGGACACCCCGTACGACCCCGAGGTTGAACACATGGCCCTGTACATCTCGGAGATCAGTCAGTTCCACCGGGAGTTCGTTTCCAAGCCGTCGTCGGATCTGGCCAAGGCCTCCCTGGCTCTGGCACGGTGCATCCTCAACCGCCCTCAGCCTCGCCACACAGAGTGGGCTTCGCAGTATGACTCGATGACTCTCGTGGGTCTGTCGCAGCAGCTGCACCAGCCATCGCAAGTGTTGTGTCGGAAATACTCGTCGTCTCACTACTCTCGGGTGTCCAAGATCCTGGAGCAGTTCCTTGCTCGACAGGCCTCGATTGCCAGCTACTCGCCCCCCAGTCCCCCCGAAAGCACCCTGGGAGCCCAAGCCCTACGAAGGCGAGATTGGCTTGGCCACGCCGCAAAAAGCACCCCACCTCTCCAACATGCCCTCATGGGTATATCACACCCCCGATTACCCCTGAGAACGATGCGTTTGCCAACGGGGTGGCTGGTCCGACTGCCTGTTCACCGTCTCCGACCCCTCAACCCACCATGCCGTATGTGACTTCTCATCCGTACCAAGCTGAGGTGTCATACTCCCAACAGCAGTATCTCGAACCTCAGATGTCATTCGGTCCGAGCTACTGAATTGCAGGGGGTTTCTGTGTCTTGAAACCACTGACTGCCTCCGGGGCTGTCAGCCACTGACGGTTTGACGGTCCCCATTGTCTATATGGACAGGACTGATCTCACATTTCCTTGTGTCATTTTCTTTTAAAATTGCATACCCATTTCCTTGTTTCCCACATCCACATCATATCTTGGTTTACCAAGTTGCATTTAAGCTTCTATTCGTATATCTAGCATTGCAAGCGCGAGCCGTCCGAGTCTAAATTGCATTTCTCTGTCTACAGGTTCTTTTTTCTGTCATTTTTCAAAGCCATGTGTGGAATTGCGAGTGATTTAGCGACCCTTCCCCAGCTGGTGATTTGCACTGGGGATCATGTTTTACCCCTGACACGTACTGATTGAACCTTTCCCCCTGCATTCCCCTTCCCCTTCCCTACTGATCCCCTTGGACACAACACGGAACATAATGTGGCCTACCCTCTCACCTTGTGAATTATACGCTCAGACAGCGGCTGTCTCGCCCTGCCAACCCTCGAATTCTCGGCTGATGGAGAGAGGACCCTCCAAAAAAACCAAAAAAGAGATAACCACAAAACCCAAAAAAACACAGCCCAGAAGGAACAAAAAAGGACAAAAAAATGTTGAGCATGGCTTTGTTATTTAATGAGATTGGAGAAGAGAGAATAAGTTCAGATGGAGGATGGAATTGAGATGTATTTGAAGACCGTTTTTCTTTAGAATCTGGGTTGTTTCTTTTCCTTGGATCCGGAGGACTTTCTGTTCTTGGATCTCTTCTGGTGAGATACCCTTGGGTAGAGCTTGGAGATGGGGAGGGGGTAGCGAGGGGATGTGAGATCCTGATCCTTTAGAGCCTAGGTACAGCTGAATGCACGATACCTGGAGAGGTACCTGAGGGACACTGGTAATGGTCTCTGTATGTGCATGTAGGGTGAGATGGCGGTGGTGGAAGCCGGAGTAGTTCTCTGCCAACTCAGTGTGCAGCGCATGCAATGGTAGGAGAGGAACAACACAGCATGCAGTGCGGAGTGCAGGAGTACTAGGTAGAGTACATGAGAGGAGTCACTGATAGACGGATATATATTTCCTGATGGTGGTAAATTAAGACACTTCTGGACGAGATCCGAAAGTCGATATAGTCGATAGAGTACAGTCATGAGTGGAATATAGAGCAGAAACAACCAGATCAACCGAGATCAACACCGAAACCACGCTATGCGGAACGTCCAATGAAGAAAACCCCAAGATGCAAGCAAGTGTACGACATACCCCGATCGAACCGGCGACCGCCTCCATGCAGAAGGAGTCGGAGGGGATATGCAAGGGTTGTCTGTGTATCTGTATGTGTATGCTGTGTCTTTCGTGCGAGTGTCTCGACACCGAAGGACGTAACACGTGTCTTGCAATGGGGATGACAGTCTCATAGAATACAGGAAGAAGTCAAAGACACGATAGAAAAGAAATGAACAAAACGGGAACGAAAAGCAGTCATCACCTCGTAGCAGTAATAATAATGTACAGGAACCGGCCAAGCCGTCCGTCATGAGTAATCATCCAAATTAGGGGGTTCACCAAAACCAACGGGAGCACTCCGTGCTCCGTAATAGGAACGATAACGAAGGGAATAAATGACTGTCGATCACCGCCTCACTTTCGACGCCAAAGCCGCGCGGATAATCGAATCAGCCGGAGTGGCCGAGCTGCCCAGCAGCTGTCGGAGCCTCTGCACCACCCCAACCCCATCCATCCATCCATCCATCCATGCGTCCATCGAACGAACCGAGTCGATGAATGAATGAAAGGTGAAGGAAGGATGGAGCGTGCAGGAAGAAGGCGGTCTGGACGCATGGACTGCAGCGGCGTGCATGTCCGCCGACTAACTACTTCCACCGCTGCTTGTCCCAGTCGGCGGGCCGGGTCTCGTCGTAGATCTGGCCGCCCTGGTTGTGCACGACGACGGGCGGTTGCGTACGGCGCGGAATGGCATTGGAGCCTGGTTGGGGGTGGTTGTTAGCGAGGGTCCGGGGCATGGAACCAGGAAGGGAGAGTTGGAATGGATGTACATACCTCCGCGAATGTCTGGGATGACGACTCGGCCACCGCTGCTGGCGGTGCTGGCGAGGGTGGAATTGGACTCGTTGATCTTGGTGGGCATTGTGATGTGTATTGGTATGAAGAAAGATGGAGTGTGAAGGGAGAATGGGAGTATAGATATAGAGTCGGCGGTGGCGGAGCAAGGCGAAATAGAAGGCACAATAGGTGAATGGGAGGAGTGGACAGAGAGGTAGAAGATAGAGTTATAGTTGTCGATGTAGTTGTGTTGTGTTGATTGAGTATTGTAGTAAATGCTGAAGAAGGATATGGATGAGATGGATGGATCCGAGTATTTGTATGTTGCGGAATATGGGGAAAACGAGGAGGATCGCAGAGGATCTCCCAAAACAGTTTTAGGTTGGCATTGGAAGCACCAAAAAAGAATAAGCCAAAAATAATACACATCGATCCAGCCCCATGAGAATGGACTAACCTAGCTAACTACCTAGGGAACTAGGTGACTAGCTAGGGAGATCAGTCATTTGCAGAGAGGTCTGAACGGGTCCGTAGGTACTGTAGGTACTGTAGGTCCAGTAGTACCATGTATGTACCTTGTACCTATGCTATGCCTAATAGGTACCTACCTACCAACCATACCAGCACTACTCTACAGAATAACGTCATGCCATTCCATTCCTACAACCCAGCACTGAATCTGGAATCCTTATCGAAGCCCCCGGGCTGCTCATCCGCTCCACCGCGGCTGCCAGGGGCAAAAGGGCCAAAGCCAAAAAAGACGAGGCGGCAAACCGGATGGCTCAGAAGCGTCCCGAGCTGGTGGACTGGACGGATGTGCGTCAAGGGATGGATGTCTCGCCGCGTCGGATCTCCGTGGACGATTCTACGATTATCCACGATGATCTTGATCGATCTGGCTCAGCCTGACCGTTGTCGTGCTGTTGGTACAGTACAGTCTCCAGCCAGCCATCAGCCACAGTCTGCCTGGTGCTATAGCCTGTGAGGCGGTGATGCCTACCTGGTGAAGTGGCTGTACCAGGATGAGGCTGACAAGTATCCCTGTGAGTAGGTAGGTACCTAGTCTACCTAGTCCGTAGGTACCTAGATTCACCGATTCTCTGACGATTCAGGGTTCGTCGCATCATCCAGCATCCCTGATGGAATGGGCGAGGTGACACGACAGATACGGTCTACGGGATGAATGATTGGGGGAGATGGGTAAAATACGCGAAATTAACACCACCATACATATTACACGTCAATCCTCCTATTTATAGAGTTAACCTTCTGTACAGTCGTCTGAATACTCTGAATACTGCTAGACAAGACAGTAAAAGTGATGAATTGTCCCCTGATTACTATAATTATTCCATCTCTACTGAAACACAACTCCTTCATCTAGCAGCATACGTAAGTAAGTACTTTGTATGTACCTGGATCGTCGCCTGCTGATTGGTGCTGGATGCACAGGAATAGCTGTCTGCCTAATTCGGCCTAGCCGATCCAGTCTAGACTCCTTAGTCAGCAGCCTCCTTTCCCGCCCCGTCTCACATGACGTCGTCCGACATTCAGCATCCATCCATCCATCGACTCTCTGCTCAAGACGAGGCAAGCATCACAGCAGTCTACTCCCCGGATTGGATTGGACTCCCATCGGAGAACCCCTACTTCCTGTACATACCGAGTCCTCCCTACATCCCATCGCCTACGGAGTACTCCGTCCGCACTTGGGAAGAAGGCAATGATAACCCGCACTCTCCTGGTCCGCTAGCTCCTCTAGGGATCGCGTACGTCCCTCACCAATAATCAGACCCAGCCAACTCCACTTCAATAGTACGGAGGACCTATCTGGCTGCCCCAGAGGTATCGACATCGACATCCTCCCTTCTCGCCGGTCACGGGGCCACGCGGAGGTAGCACAGACGAGACATCAGGTGATCCGGCATTTCACCGCTAGAATGATGGCGTCATGGGTCTTGCTCTGTTGGGGATAACCTGTGGGTGAGCTCGAGAATAGGTACTTAGGTATCTAGTCCACTGATGCAGTGGACCTACCGGGTCTATTGGAATTATGAGGTCGTTGTGGTGCCAGCTGGAAGCTGGTGGATATGATTACTCATCTCCTACGTGTGCTGTCTTCCTATTGAGGACAGTTGATGGTGTTGATTCGAGGGTCCTCAATTCTCGTGCCATAGACTCTTCCTGAGTCCATCTGCTGGCAGACACCCATACTCCGTACATGCTAGCATCCTAACCATCAACATACGTCACCGCATCGACGACTCTCTCCCGCGCTTCATCCGTTCCTCCCACCCGTTCATGCTCCGACGAATTCCCAACGTCCGCCGCGCTGGCGCTCCTCCCACGCCCTGCACCATCGCCATCGTAGTCGTATGGTACGTGGCCGCCGGCCGCACGCCCCCGACCAGCCCCTCCGGCCTTTTAATCCCGCGGTCCCCCCACTCCTCGCGAGCCTGACCTTCTCCGTCACATACTTCGTTCTCCGAACCTTTGTGCAGCGTCGGTCGGACAGTTGCTTTCGACGTGCCCGCCGTCGTCGTCGAGGATGTCCCCAGCCACGTGTAGCGGTTGGGGTCGGAGGGCTCCAGGGTGGGGCGTGTTGGGCGGTGCACTTGTGGCCGATGAACTGAGAAGTTGGGAGGCATACCGCTGCGCAAGCCGGGGTGACAACCAGAAGGCGGTGGAGGTGGTGCTGATGGCTCAGTCGCCCGATGGTTGCCCCGTGGCTGGTGGCGACCCGGCGCCGCTGATTCGCCGCGGGTTGCCTGCGCGGCGCCGCTGAAGAAGCCCGATATGCTCTTCTGTGACAGTTCATTGGCTTTTCGACCAGGGATCCCTGTGTTGGACGCCCTGGGCTGAATTGTCGGGCCCCCTGTCGTCGAGGCGGTACTGGTGATGTACTCTCTGGCGGTCGAGAACCCGAATGACGACATGGTCGTGGTCACGGATAAGTTCGAACTCCCGATGGAATACGTCGACACAGGAACCGCCGTGGTTGATGTGGAATCTTGGGGACCGTACCGACGTCGTTTTGGGTATGGCTCCCCCTCTCCTGTCACCCTCACGCCGTCCCATGTCAGCAAGGCGTCCGGCGCCTCCCGTCCTTCGGGCGTCCATTGATCGTCGAGAGTTGAGATCAGCGAAACCTGTCCCTCGTTTATCGCCTCGGCGGACGGCCTCGGTCGGCGGAGGATGTCGGCGATGTCGTAGACCGTCTTCTCCCTCAGACTGGGTCCGATGCAGCGGAAACGGGATTCAACAATCTTGTCTGGGAGGAAGTCGGACACGGTTGTCTCTTCGCCGCTACGGGCCTGCTCGAGCGGGTAGCTCAGGTATAGCAGTGCTTGCGCTCGAGTCATCGCTACGTATAGCAGCCGTCGTTCCTCATCCCAGTCGTCGGCCCGCGAGTGCGGGATGCTGCCGTTGTACACGGCGGGAACGAAGACCACGGGCCACTCCAAGCCCTTTGCCGCGTGAATCGTGGAGATGGTCACTTTCTCCTGCGATTGCGTTCCGTCCTCGCCCTCCTGTGGGCGGACCTCCGTGGACAGAGCCACATTGGCCAGGAAGCGAGATAGAGCTTCCTCCCCGGCGTGGGCTTCCTGTTGCGCGAGGCCTTCGATCTCTGGCAGACGGTCGTCCTGCTCGGTATCATCGTCTGCCTTTGTGTCGTCCGCCTGTCCCAGCAGCTCTTCCACATTAGCCCAGCGATTTTCCTCGTTCGTACCGTACATCGTCGTAAGATAGTCCCGAAACGAAAGTCTCTTAATCACGTAGTCGAGGAGCTTCCGGGGGGCCGAGTTGTCCGTGCATTCCAGCAGCTTCCGTCTCGAAGACTCAATCAGACCAACAAACGTGCAGAGCCCGTGGTTGGCCGGCTTCGAGAGGGTCTTCTCGGTCGACCGGCGACCCTGCGCGACGTCTTTGATAAAATCCCAGAGAGGCTTTTTGTTTTTCTCTGCGCCGCTCATCAGCGAACGGATCGTCTCCTCGCCGATCTTCCGCGAGGGAACGTTGATAATGCGCAGCAGTGCGTCCGTGTTGCCCGGCTGGCTGATCACCCTCAGATAGTCCAGGAGTAGCTTGATCTCGACGCGATCGAAGAACCGCAGCCCCCCGACCATCCTGTACGGTATGCCATGCTTCCCCATCTCCGACTCGATTTGCCGCGAGAGCGACGCGGACCGCAGCAGGATCGCAAAGTCGGAGTGATCAAGGAGCTTCCCCGTCATGGCCATGCACCGTTTGATCTCGAGCACAATCCACTGTGCCTCTGCGTCTGCGGTCGGCAACTTGCGCAGTACAGGCATCGTGCCCACACTATGCGTGGGCTGGAGCTTCTTCGCGGGCCGCGAAGTATCCTGCTCGATGACGTCCTGCGCGGAGCTCAGAATGGACCCCGACGAGCGATAGTTGTCCTCCAGGAGCACAACCGCCGTATCTCGGTACCGCTGTTGCATGCGCCCCAGATTCTTGATCTCCGCCGAACGAAACCCATAGATGCTCTGGTCGGGGTCGCCGACGACAGTGATCCGGCGGTTCTGTGACGCGAACAGGTTCATCAGCTCGTACTGGATGTGGTTGGTGTCCTGGAACTCGTCCACCAGCACAGCTTGCACATTCGACACACAGCTCGGATGGCGGCGCAGGAGCTCCGCGCACCGCACGAGGAGGTCGTCGTAGTCGAGGAGATGGGACGCCGCCAGATGCGCCTCGTACTCGCGATACACCTGGATGAACTCGCGGTTTTCCTGGATCTTCGCCGCATTGCTCGCGTACTTCTTTGCCACCTCGTCCGGGGAGATCCCGTGGGCTTTCTGATGCGAGATGCGCGAGCGGGCGACGTTCGGGAGGATGTTGAGTTGTAGACGTTTTACGATTCGCTGTAGAGTAGTTTTTTAGCCTACTATGTTCCAATGAACCATACTGCAGGATGCAACTCACTTTAATAATGGCTAGACTGTCGCTCGAATCCGCAATCCCAAACCCCCGGCGCAGCCCAATCAAGTAGCCATAGCTGACCAGATACCGGCGACAGATGGAGTGAAACGTCCCCAGAATCAATCTCGACTGGACGTCATCGCCGACCAGTTTGGCCAGCCGCTCCCGCATCTCCCGACTGGCTTTGATCGTGAACGTGCAACAGATGACGTCCTGCGGCTGGTACCCATGGTGCGAGAGCAGGTACGCGACACGCGCGGTCAGCGTCTTGGTCTTTCCCGAGCCCGGCGGGGCCAGGACTTGGAGAATTGATGCCGGGGACGTGACGGCGTCTCTTTGGGCATAATTTAGGCCTTCTATGATGGGATCCATGGGGTTTGGGGGTTGTTTGGGGCGCTGCATATTGGAGCTTCTTCGGGGTGGGAGACGCGTTATGTCGCGAAGTCATGTGACATGTCATGAACATCTATGTATGATTACATCTATCTTTTGTCAACCGTCAAGTCATTCAACAATTAGACACCTTTTTTTCATATATACAAATACATAACGTACAAGAATTAGCTGTCCTTGTTGATATGGAAGCACGGATTAGAAACGCACAGACTCAATCTGAAGCACGCAGATAGGTACACGGTCAAGGGCTAAGTTTCTCTGAACTACGCCAATCTATTATAAGTACGCTCTCTCAGATTTCCTCCTGGGAGTCCCGTGCTATGGCACCAAACCCCTCAAGGCAACCTTTATCTAGTCTGAAGAACCGAGGAGCTGGGTCTCTGGCCAGACCCTAGAAGACGCAGTGTGGCTTGGGCTCCCACTTACCTCCGCATCTCCTCTACGATAGCCGACTTAACATAGAAGGCTTCTTGGAGACACGGCTACACGAGAAGGGTATATAGAGATTGGCCTCTTGACGACGTTTGGACCGTCCTTCTATTGACGGTGCTAGATACGTCTGGATTGCTTTCAACCCCTGGTCCCCCGCACAGATCGAGTACCAAAAGACAGTCAAAGACATTCTAGTGATCCCCGGACACAATGCCACCTACATCCTGACTTCCAAAGAATCCCCTCTTAAGCGCCAAGAGCCCCGAAGCGCCAGCTATACCGGTAATCGTAGGTACCCCCTCCGCTCCAATACGTTTGGCTTCCTCTCTCTTGGCGGTCGAGTAGTTGCGGGGTAAACTCCCCATACGATCCCCCAGATTTCTGATTCATGCCATCTTCCGCGGTGGTTGTCGGGTAAGCGAGCTGTACATGCCTTGGGTAGCTCGGTTATGACGGTGTGGTGGCAATTGGTATAAAATGAGCGGCCTGTGCAGGATAGGAGGGGCCTGGTGTCCAGAAAGTACGGCCAATCCTCATACATTCTATCTGTCCATCTACGACGCTGTCTTTTTCAAAAGTCCTCGATAGTCTACTCATTAGTGTGGTCGAATCTGATCCACTTGTCCCATTATGGCTTCACAGCCTGATCGCTCAGTGGAAAAATCAACTGAGACGCAGCATGTCGAGTCAGTCAAGCTCGAAGATGGGGCTTCAAAGCCCAGCTCAAGCAGTGGTCCTGTCTACGGCATTGATGAAGCCCATCAGAAGAGGGTGATGTAAGTCTTGACCTGGCCTTCATCTGGTGTTTCGGCAGTATGGTAGCTGATTGATTATTCAGTCGACGAGTAGATCTTCGTCTTCTCCCTATCCTAGGTGTGATGTACTCTATTTCACTTATTGACCGTACCAATCTCGGTCTTGCACTGGTTGCAGGCATGCAGGAGGATCTTGGACTGGACGTGGGGGCGAGATACACCATCATTGTGATGGTATTCTTCGTGGCTTACATGTAGGTGCTCGAACCCAGTCATGATACACGCTTGAGAGGTTGATCTTGCTAATGAAGTAAACAGTGTGTTTGAAATCCCTAGCGTTAGTTCAACATCTCCCCTCCAAGATTCATACTGACCCCGTCTCAGAACATAGTCCTCCCAAAAGCCGGCGCAGCGAATTGGCTGGCATTCCTCGGCGTCAGTTTCGGAACCATATTGATTGGCATGGGTTTTACAAAGAGCTGGGTGACGATGACGATTTGCAGAGTCTTGCTGGGGACAATGGAAGCAGGGTTTCTTCCTGGTAGATGGACATTACTCAATAGCCCTGTGACAGATTCTGATACTTTCATAGGATGCACCTACCTGATCACCTGCTGGTATACTCGCTTCGAAGTAGGAAAAAGGTTGGCCGGTTTCTGGCTAATGTCGGTCGTGTTAAACGCCTTTGCCGCGATATTTGCCTATGCTCTCACCCTCTTGAAGGGTACCCATGGTCTCAACGGATGGAGGTGTATGTCAATTCCGCTCTGTGTCAGATAATTAAATCTAACCAAAGATATCTAGGGATCTTCATCATCGAAGGCGCCATAACCTGCGGAGTCTGCCTCTTCGGATGGTTCATTATCATCGACTTCCCCACAAAAGCAGACAAATTCCTGAAGCCCGAAGAGAAGCAGTTCATCATTGACCGCATCAACTACGACCGCGGCGATGCGGAAGAAGATCCCATGACTCTCGCCCGTATTCTCCACCACCTCAAAGATTGGAAGCTGTATTTCTGGGCCTTCAATCTCATGGCCTCAACCCTCCCCGGCTACGCCTTCAGCTATTTCAAAACCATCATTCTGAAGGAGGGCATGGGATGGAGCACCACGACCAGCCAGCTGCTCAGCGCACCGCCGTACGTCTTCGCAGCCGCCATTACCTACTCCTCGGGCTGGTTGACAGACAAATACCGGATCCGTGGCCCGATTATTGCCGTGCACCAGCTTCTTACCTGCATCGGCATGGTCATCATGGCATATGGCGGGGCTAACGGCGCCAGATACTTTGGTATCTTCCTGGGGGTTGGCGCATTGCAGTACTGCATTCCTGGTGTGTTGGCGTTCCAGGCAAACAACATCACGTCTCATTCAAAGCGCGGCGTTGCGTCTGCAACTTGCTTGATTGGGGGCGGTCTCGGTGGCATCATTGCCAGTGTGGCGTTCAAGTCCAGTGAAAGCCCGCAGTATACCACGGGTATATGGGTGACGTTTGGTATCTCCATAGCCAGCATCATCATGACTGCGATCATGGATGTCTACTTCATCAGAATGAACCGGAGAGCAAAGGAGGGTGGTCTGCAACTTGAGGGAATGAGTGACTGGTATTATACCCTTTAGCATTCAACAGAGAAATTGGGTTCCTCAATGAGCATATGCTTCTAAAGACCCACTCACTATGAATGTTTTCTTTTTGATATGAACAATATATAGAAGAAAAAAGGCTGATTGTCAATTACGAAGTATATATCCACGTCCATATCATATTCCCACAGGCATACCTTATGCTCCACATACATACTACACATAATATTCACACACCTGAGCTGTCCTGACCTCGTGGATGTATAGAAAGGGAGAGGTTAGAGATTTAGATCTTCTCCTCCGCCAATTTTGTGATGACGGCAACCCAGACTCAGTACGCGCTTTCTACACCATATGGAAACATATATCAAACAGACCTGACTGCACCATTATAAAATATACTACGAATATCGTAGACTCGAGAATTGTTATAGTTCCTCTGTGACTAAGACGAGATTAATCACGTGACCATCCGATGTGGAGTCTTCCGCGGCGCTAAAAATTGTATCTCCAACAGGCAAGAAAAAAAAGATCGGAAAATCATCACGGTCACCACCACAGCACCCCATCCTCCAGTCTACCGATTCTCGTGGCGCAGAATGATTGTTTAGTGGTCGGCTCGATACTAGAGCCGGGGTTGGTTTTTTCGAATATCTAACAGCCATTTACTGCTTTTCTTCCATCTTTATCTGAAGCTCTGCAGAAATCTACCCAAATTCGATCCTGATCTTCACCACGACACGCCTTTCACAATGGATATTCACCGGTGCCGTTTCGTGCCCTACAACCCCCAGGCGATCAATGCGCTTGCGTTCTCCCATCCTCCCTCCGCTGGCGTCGCCGGACGCGGCGTCCCTACCCTCCGACTGGCGATTGGTCGCGCAAACGGCGACATCGAAATATGGAACCCGCTGCGCGGCGCATGGTTCCAGGAGACAGTCATCCGTGGAGGAAAAGATAGAAGCATCGAGGGTCTGACATGGACGCTCGATCCGCAGGAGACTGGCCCCGATGGCGGCAAATTGCCCGGACGGCTGCGTCTCTTCAGCATCGGATACTCCACGGCGGTCACCGAATGGGATCTGGAACACGGCCGTCCGCTGCGCCATTCGAGCGGTAACTACGGCGAGATCTGGTGTTTGGCAGCGCAGCCACGGTGGCAGGCGACACAGCGAGGCAAGGACGGGAAATTATTGCCGCCCGCCGAGGGAGAATACATCGGACAGCATCTCGCAGCTGGGTGCGCGGACGGATCCATCGTTATCTTGTCCACGGCCGATGACGACCTCAAGTTTCTCCGTCTGATGCGTCCGTCGACCAAAAGGGCCAGAGTACTGAGCGTCACCTTCCAGAATCGCAACACCATTGTCGCGGGGTATGCCGATAGCTCTATCCGCCTGTTCGATATCCGGTCTGGCCAGCTGCTACGGACGATATCTTTGGGAAAGGGCCCCTCAGGTGGCACTAAGGAGCTGCTCGTTTGGTCCGTCAAGTGCCTCCCCGATGGCACCATTGTGTCCGGCGACTCGGCTGGCGAGATTCGCTTCTGGGATGCGAAGAACTACGCCCTTATCCAGCGGATACAGGGCCACCTCGCGGACACGCTGGATATTGCTGTCAGTGCTACGGGGGATACGGTTATCAGCGGCGGTGCGGACCAGCGGACTGTCGTCTACAGGAAGAAAGAAGCGGAGAAGGGTGATAAGCGAAGCCGGTGGGCTGAGGTGATGCACCGACGGTATCACACACACGATGTGAAGACGTTTGCCGTCTACGAAACGAAGGAGGTTAGCATTGTGGTTTCTGGAGGTTCGTCTGCCATTACTTCGCTCTGTATCGCCAATCTTACTAACAATAATAGGTCCTGACGCTGCCCCGGTTGTCCTGCCTCTGCGCGAATTCGGAAAAGAGCACCATCGGAAGCTGCCGACGTTACCTCAAATACCGCAGCTTGCTTCGTCTCCGTCATCTCGTCTGGTTATGAGCTTCTGGGACAGAGAGGCCAGCATTTGGCGCGTATCCCGCGGTCCCACCTCCGCTAACGAGAGCTCCGAGGGCCAAAGACACCGGCTTGTGGGCAAAGTATTGATTCAAGTAAGTTTACGCAACAGGTAAATGAAGGAGCCTACTCTAACGATTTAACTAGGGCGAAGAAAACATCACGTCGGCTATGCTCTCTTCGGACGGCAAAATCCTCGTGGTTGCTACGATCTCCAGCGTCAAGGTGTTTTCCGTTCGTCGCCGCAAGGGTGATGAGAAAGGAACGCTACGCATCCAGAAGCTCGATGTCCCCGAAGCACTTTCCGACGACGGCGCTCGCGTTGTGACCATCTCCCCAGACAGCCGGTGGATCTGCGTCGTGCGTCCCAACAGTGCTGTCAATCTGGCTCGAATCCAGCCTGCTTCGTCCCCGCAGGACAAGCCTCAGGTCCTCTCGAAACTCATCCAAGTCAACAGAGCCTCGCGCCACTCGCGGCATGAGAAAGCATCCCACGGCACCCTCGGAGATTATGAGAAGACCATCCGATGCGCCGTATTCTCGGAAAACAGCAGGATTTTTGCGGTTGGTGATATCTCCGGCTGCGTCGACACTTGGGTATTGGAAGATGCTGGAGCTGCCGCCTCCAAGGCGGCGGCGAAGTCTACCAGCGATGCAGACTCCGACGACGAGTCTTCCGACGATGAGGAGGAATCGGCGGTTGAAGGCGAGCGTTGGCGTCTTGCTGCTGCAGAGTCGCCTATCCCCCGCCTCACGTCAGGCGTCGTCTTTCTGTCATTCAGACCGCAGAATAAGGCCAGCGAAAAGCTACTGACGAATGGCGCCAGCCATCAGCCGTCCTCCGAAAACCGGCTGATGGTTCTCACCAGTGAGCATCAGCTGGTGGAATTCGACGCGATTGAAGGCAAATTGTCCGACTGGTCGAAACGAAACCCCAAAGCATTCCTGCCGGCTGCGTTCAGAGGCGTGAAGGACCGTGCGATGGGCTGTCTCTGGGATCTGACGGAAGCCCGCGAACGACTGTGGCTGTATGGAAACTCGTGGCTGTGGATGTTTGACTTGAACCAGGACTTCCCATCCTCTGAAGAGTTGACTGCATCCGCAGACACCCACGATGATGCCGCTTCGAAAAAGAACGCATCTAAACGCAAGCGCGACCCGTTTGAAGAGGATGAGGGTGAGAGGAAGAAGCCAAACACTGGCGCTGGTGATAAGATCCCACTGGCCAAATCTGATGTCTCGATCGCTGCGAAGATTCGTAAGGTCGAGGGCCATGACGAGTCCCAGGGCGAGTGGGTCTCTCTAGAGAAGCTGCAGACACGCGGACGCGATGACGAAGACGAAGCCTACGAGAATGATGAAGCCTATATCGACAACCATGAAACCGCCTTGGCACGACTTCGGCGGGACGACAAAGCGGAAGTTAGCACTCAGCACAAGCGCCGATCTATACGTCTGAACAACACAAGCGACGGCGCCAACGACACGTCCTCTCAGAAACAGCTGGTTCAGAACGGGGATAAGCCCCAGTCCTCCCGCCGGTGGTGGCACACGTACAAGTACCGTGATATTCTCGGGATTGTGCCGCTAAGCCCTCTTTCGGATGAAGGCGCGCAAGACGATGAGGAGCGGAGCAGCCTTGAAGTCGCTGTCGTGGAGAGGCCCATGTGGGATGTGGAACTGCCAGGCCGTTATGTTCGGGACTACGAGTGATCCTGATGCTTATCCTGGATGCAGGCAGTCATTACGTGTTCTTCTCGTGTTCGCACTTTGAAAGCTGTCGCCTTGTGTTTTCCAATATCCCGCGAGCTAAGCTTGTTGCCTGGCGCTTGTACAGATCTTGTTTCTATATTTGTTGACTTCTGGCGATCAGGATAGGTTTCCAGCATCATAGAGGTAAAAGTTATTTGGAACCTGTGTCCGACTGCTGTGGTGTATGCTTGTGAATTCTGTAGGCACCGTCGATACTTTTTTGCCTGAGGCTGCGACGGCCGGTGGCTTGGCATCAACAACCATCTTGCTCCATCAACTTCATCTCCCACCACCTACTTCTGCCATTTGGTAGCAGCTACAATCCATGGAGAGTCAACACCCCCTTTGTATCATCTGCGGTGCAAGCGTAGTATACCGACATCCTACTCGCACGTGGCGAAGGAACTTCAGAGCAAGTCTGTCGTCTACGCATTCGCTTTCTATCCTCTTCCTCCCATTGAACCCTCCAAGCTAACAATCAACAGTCCGATGCGACAACAACTCCAGCCTAGACGGCAAGCCGTTCCTCACAGGAGTCGGCAGCCGCGTCCCGTCGCACATTGCAGGCTGCGCCGCCCCGTCCCGTCCAGAAGCAAGATGGGACGACAAAGGCTTCGACTTCTCGGACGAAGACTGCTTCCCGCCTTTGATAGGCGACCACCAGCACCCCCAGCCAGGCTTCCTGTCGCACGAATCGTGCTGGGAGCTGCTGGAAAGTGCCATGCGTCCGGACTCCGTCCCCATTCAGCGTTTGTATGACGTCTGTCTCTCTTGCCCCGCCAAGGAGACCGGATGGCTCGATTGGGGACATAGCTACGGCGGGCTTATGAACCGCCTCCCGACCGAGGGATACCCGTGGGAAGACGTGCACATCGCGGGCTACATTCGCCGGTACCTCGGGGTGACCGACTCGCCCTTGTCGCTGTTGATCGGCGAGCCGGTGGATATCCCCGAGATCCAGACGGCTCTTGCAGAGTCGCAGGTCAAGCGGGCGGACTACGCCGCTCTCGCCATAGCCCCGGCACCGGACGACACGTCCGATTGCTTCCAGCGATTACCCCAGGAAGTCCTGGAGGACATCAGAGTCCTCCTCCCGCTGTCGGACGTTGCCAGCGCACGCTTAGCCTCGCGGTCGTTCGCGAGATTACCATTTACGCAGGCATTCTGGGCGTCGAGGTTCGCGCATGCCCACGAACGCGGGTATTGCCTGGAGGCGAGGGACCCCCGGTGCAGCAGTCTCGCCGTCCAGCGCACTCGCGACTGGAGGATGCTCTACGAACTGACGGCCGTCACGCCGTCGTCCTCGCAGCAGCTCAAGAACAGGAAGCGCATCTGGAGCTACCTGAAAGATATAGTCAGCCTGCTTCTCGAGCCTCCTCTCCCCAACGAGAACATGACAAGGGAGCTCGATACTTCGCCGCTAGATCCGGGAGAGTCGTGGCGCTCTGTCGGTGGTGATTTTATAGCTCGGCCTGCAAACAGCTTCCCGCGCAAGCTGAAATGCAGAGCGATATACGCGCAAATTGCAAACATTCCCAAACCGATACACTCCGTCAGCGTGTCGTTCCAGACTCTCAGCGACAGACCGTACGTCTCCGGTCTGCGCTTCACTACTCCAACCGGCGAGCCCACAAATATCGGCTTCGTCCTCCCGCAGAAGGAGAAGTCCTTCGCCTTCCACTACGGCCCCTCCACGATAACAGGCTTCATCGTAGCCGCCGCGCCCCGCGGCATCACAGCCCTCCGCATAGTCAGCGCTCAAGGCGAGATATCCCCCTGGATCGGCTCCGCCGACGGCCTGCCTCAAACAATCCGCCTATGCACAAAGACAGCAATTCACACCATAAAAGCACACTTTGACGTACGCCCCCTCCCTCATCCCTCTCCCACAACTCTTCCCGCATCTCACACAACAATATAGGGCTTCAAACTCGTCTCCCTATCCATCCCCTCCAATCTCCCCCCACAACCCGAAACCACACCCCTCCCGCTCCGCACCACAGCCCTCTGGTACCCCAGCATCCCACCCGCAACTCAACACCTCTACGACGCCTCGTTCCCTGGCCGCCAGTTCCCGGACCACGAATACCGCCCACTGGTGCGGGTCATGTTCGGCGGCGACCGCGGCGCCCTGCTGCCGTACCTGACCCGGCTGGAGGTGACGGTGTGCAACGCCGCGATCGTGGGGGTGGACTTCATCTACGCGGCGGACGCCCCCGTGCAGCGTGTCCAGGCGTGTCCGTCCACCGCATCCGCAGACAACTCCGTCAAGATCCCGTTTGCGATCGATGGGCCCGGTGGGGAGCGGTTGACTGGGTTTCAGGCGGAGGGGAGCGTGAATGGGTATGCCGGGGGAGTGTCGCGGGCTGGCTCGTGTTGGATTTCTTCGTTGAAGGTGCGTCGCGTCGCCGTCTTTGTGCCATGGGCTAGGTCGGTCACAGGGCAAGAAATTGACGCTCCCATTGTCTAGGTCATGACAAACACCAAGCCGGATCCCTTCGTCTTCCAGCCCTGCGCCCTTCCACGTATCATGCTTCGTTCCAAGCCTGTCCCGCGTGGGAGGCGGAAAACGATAGAAATCGAGCCCGGCCGCACGCTGACGGGGATCTATTTTATGCATGCAAGTGTTTTCACATGTTCACGGTTGGAACCTGTATTACGTGCTGACTGGATTTGTTGTATAGGACCAAGATTTCGCAATGATTAGCATAGGGCCTATCTCTGAAGATCTGAAACAGGTCATCCCAGAGCAAGGCGGGATAGAAGAGGAAATTCGAGCACTGATAGGTTGAACATAGCAAATACATATTAACATGTAAATTAGGGAGTATTCAACAGTCATGATTTATGTACTCGAACACCATTTATGGTTCCTAGTTTCTACTTGGGCTGTTGGACAGCAGTACCAAAGGCAAATATAACGAATCGTAAACCGCAAAATAATGTCGCAGCGCAGCAGAACAAAACAGCAAATGCATATGCCATGAAGAAAATGAGACCCTGATAGCAGTAAAACGACAGAAAATCAAAACCCCAGACCAAAGATCGTAAAAGTACACGGAGAATCACGTAGATCCAGACTCAAGTCCATACGTCATGAGTAAGTGTCCGTGATGAGTCCTTCGATACACACGTGCATATAAACCAGATGGTGAAGGCCGTTAATCTTCTATGATGTCTTCCGAGACGGAAGGCGGTTGTTGAGTGTATGCGGACGGGTATCACACGGGTAAATCGTGGCAAGTCCTTGAAGACAGCGACGGACAACCAGTGACTAGCTGGGTTTCGTGCAAGGATGCCAGAAGTTGGCACCGAGGATATGCATCTCCTGGGCGAGACGTCCGGTCAAGGATCTGTATCAACGCTCATTGGATGCCAATCCAGCTGATTGCGACGGTCGACCGTTTTGCTGACGAAATGGAGCGTATGAGCCATCGTTCCAGGCAGGGACCCAGATCGCTTCGGTGGTGACATACGGCGGGTGCTGATTCCTTGGCATGTAATCGTCGCCGCGGAGTCTAGTAGCTTTGGGCAGAGACGGTGGCCGGCTGTGACATGTCAGCGAATGGGAATGGGACCGGTTGAGCGAGGGACAGGAAGAAAGGCACAATAGTCTCGGCGTTGTTACACAACCGGATGAGGCCTCTTCTTGGCAATGGAAGAGGAAAAGCAAGGGAGAAACTTACAGGACTGCTCAACATGCTGTTTCGCTCCTTCCGTCCCTTCTTAATGTGATTCTTCAGCGCCGTCGAATCCAGTGGCTTCAAAAGTTCAAAACTGCAAAGCAGTTCCCCGGAAACGGACATGATAGCGCCCCAGTTATCGAATTCGCCGCAGTACTAAACGAGTCAGTCCAAAATCGAGCCTCAGATGTCAAATGGGGCTTATAATACTCACGTTAGGAGCCGAAAAAACAGTGACAAGAATACGGTCTTGGTAGAACTCGTACCCATCCTCGACTACCATGTGCGCCCGACAAACCAAATCGAAATCATGGCGTTGCAGAAAGTTCATAATCACCTGCTTGCCAAAGCAGTAACTCACACCACGCTCGTTCGGTTCCCAATCTTCCTCCATATCGGCTGGATCGCTCCAGAGCAGATCGTTCAGCAACCCGTAATCAGGAACATCAGTCGGGCGTGCGATGCCACGAATATCATCCATATGCGACAGACTGGGGGACAGCCCTCCATGGACGCAGAAGATCTTGCCGGCTACGATAGATGCGATCGGTAAGCAGTTGAAGGTATCGATGAAGGTCTTCCAGATCTTGATATTGCAGCGCCGTTTACATTCGTCATAGAATCCGTACACACGGGTGACGTTGGCACATTCGTGGTTGCCCCGTAACAGGAAGAAGTTCTCGGGGTACTTGAGCTTATAGCACAGCAGAAGCAGGATCGTCTCCAGGCTTTGCTTGCCGCGATCGACATAGTCGCCGAGGAACAGATAGTTCGAAGCCGGAGGGAACCCGCACATCTCAAACAAGCGGATAAGATCGGTGTACTGGCCGTGAACATCACCCACGATCTTGACCGGGGCAGAGAGTTCTAGCAGGGCCGGCTGCTTGAGAAACAGCTCCCGAGCAGCGGTACAGATTGCCGTGATCTCGGCATTCTTGAGACAGACGGTCTTGGTGACCTTGGTCGAATATCCAGCATCCAGCAGACGGGTGATCATGTCATCCAGATCGATCGACTTGAGAGCACCCATGCCCATTCCAGGAGAGGAGGAAGCATCCATGGGGGTATTCATAATGAAGTCCAAGATGGGGTTCAGCTGGCCCTCCCGCTTGATGAGAATCGATTCCCCGACGGTGGCGGTTGAGCCGGTAGGGCCGCCTGCCGTTGGCGGAGCATCCGACACGAGGTCGACCTCACCACTCTGCTTCATGGCATTGACATCCTTGTGGCCCTTCTTCAAACTGCTGGAGAGGGAAGGCGAAGGAGGAGGTTCCGGGGCGTCCAGTCGAGAAGTCGAGTCCTCGGCCGGGGACTGAGCGCTTATGTTGGTAGAGCTGCGTCTACTTCCCACCGACTTGATGGAGCCGGCGTCCGACTTGTCATCCTGCGAAAGACCAGACAAGGATGCACGAGGGCTATCGCTGCTACGGATCTTGGAGCGGATTGAGCCGCGGAACGAGCGCAGAGACTCTTTGGTATCGGACCGAGAGAAAGATGGATACGATTGCAACGAGTCGCCAGGGCCGGAGTTGCCCTTGGAATGCGACTGACCCATTGCTGCAAGGCGGGAATATCTGCCAAGCTCGGGGATGCGAAGTTAAAAAGATGGACCGCAATCAGAGCCCTTCTTCTTAAATGGAATGTTGCAGGCCGTCTTGGCTATTATGTGGCTTTCGAGGGTTGGATATAAGAGGGAGGTGGGATCCACGAGGACGCAGAATCGAATCGAAGGAGGGAGGTAGATTTGAGTTGACGCTATGAAGGTGAACGTGACCGCGGAAGGCAACCGAACGATCCCCGCGAGCTCCTGAACTCCTGAATCAAGGTGAATGAGGGAACCAGCCCCAGATGCAGTTGTTCAGAGACGGTCGGAGGAGGGTTTAGCACGGCGATAAGCTGAAGCCGACCGAGGAGATTCGGATCACAGGAGAGAGACCTAGTTCAGGCGAAGCCACCGCTACTGGCGAGCTAACAGATCGGAAGGCGGAGTTCCGATTCGCCGAAAAAAAAGCTCCTTGGTATGACGGTTAGAGCGAGGTTCCAAAACGGCAACGATAGACACGGGAACGGAAACACTGAATGCGAAGGACGAACGGAGAGGACTGGGGAGGGCGAGGCAGAAGCGATTTGGCGAGAGGGGAGGGGAGAGAAGAAGAAGAGACCAGAGGACGATCACGATCCTCGTCTTCCTGTCGAATGGGGGGAGGCAGTTCAGTTCATTCGGTGGAGGAGGAGAGGGGAAGAATGCGTCATTATGGGGGAGGGAAGCATGGAGAAGCTGCAGGACTCACAGGATGTACGGTGGAGGACGTTTCAGAAGAGGGATCGAGAGGCGACAAACCGAGAGGATTGACGGTGGTCGTTGAAGCTAAACCGGGAAGAGAGGAGGAGAAGTTGGAAGACGAGGATGAGGGGAACGATAGAGGGAGAGAGATAGAATAATCGACAGCCGGTGATGTTCTCGCCTCCCGTTCTGGTCTGGATCCTCTGCAGGCCCGCCGATAACTGGTCCGGATCATCTAGTCGGCCCGCACGACGGCAGCCTGAGGCGGTGGGCTGACTAAGCGCTCTATGCTGGTGCCTATCAATCACCTAGGTGTTTACCCAGGGATTGTTCTAGCTCTAGTCATGATTCATGATGCAGTATTTATAGCATCTTTGACCAGCTTAAGTTCTACCCATGAACACAAAGTCAACAAAAATAAAGCCCCACGGAAGAATCCAATCCAACGAGAGGAGTCGCAAACTTACGTCTCCGCCATCGTGCCTCTAGTTCCGACGCATCTCAGCACGGACACCTTCCTCGCTCTCCCATGACCTTGCATTCTCGCTTCATGTCTTGAACATTTCAATTCGGCCTACAAACCACTCGCATATACTTGGATCTCCTTCCCCATAAGCCTCATGAACCTCCGAATGCACCCGATACCTCGAACCACGCTCAGCCAAGGCAGAGGAAATAGATCATATGGCTCTGCAGCCCTCTCGCTTCCTGTCTTGGCTGCTCTCATCCGTCCGTACACAGACCACTAGCCTAACCCTCATCACACAAGAGCATCGCCAAACCCTGTTATTCACGGTAACTCCGGCAGTCCAAATCTCACTCGTATCCACCTAGGCGGGAACCATACCAGATCAACCGCTCGGTGCACAGCTGAGGAGGAACATGACTGTGGCGGCGGCCGCCAAGCCCGCATCCTGCGCCAAGGACCAACAGTATTTCTCCTAGCCACGTTGTGGTGGGAGACGTTGGGTTGCACATCTTGCATTCGAGCCCTTGGCAGATCCGCGCCAGGACACCGTATAGGTAAATATTTCCCCCAGTCCGACAGGGGAAGAAACGTGGCTAGGATTCCTGCGTCGTCCGCGGTCCAGAGAGACATCAGTCGGCATTATCACTGAGTGGGTTCATTTGACCGCTTCTTTGGATCTCCCATGCGCTCCTCCACTATCAGCCCTACCCTCGTCGCATGCGTTATCTCATTGTCGAATCAGGACAGGCCAGGAGTCACGCTCTCACGCAGAGTAAACCACAGCCTGCCACGGTAGTTCAAGCCTCATCACATTGCCCCTCCTTATGATTTCCGCAGCGCGTCGCGCACCCGGGCCTGTTGTGGGGTCTCTTCCAGTTCGATTTTCGTGATATGCTGGCCGGGAATCACCACCAGACCAATAAAGCGACTCGTCATGTTCACCTGGACGTTGGTTGGCGGCGCACCCGCCGACGACTCGGGGTCTTTCGCTGCGTCAGCCGCTGCGTCACGAACCGCCGACGGCGTAGGATAGCGATACTCGTATGTACCTCCGAGGATGATGTTTCGAGCCTTGATCAATCGCGGGTCAGCGGTGGTCTCGTATTGGTTTCGGGGGGTTCTTTGTTTGGAGGAAATAGTTCGCGTCGCCGCTTTGTTCCCTGTATCTTCGACGACGAGAGGGGGAATTCACCTACCGCATCTGTACATTTGAAGCTTCCCACGAAGATACGTGTGTCACTTGCGTGGATTCGTAAAGTTTGGCCGATTAACGACTCCAGGTATTGGACCGCTTGGTTTTCGTTCATGCTGTCGGTTCAATCGGGGGTCAGAACAACAGGTCACGCTTCAATCGGGGGTAACTATGGACCGGCCTAGACTCTATGGCGTAGTCTAGGAGGTTATCGTGGGGACAGATAAAAGCGAAACAAGTCGTTCACGGTGTGATGTGGTAGAATGCGAGAGCGAGCTGAGGTGGTCAGTGCGCCGAGGTCGGAACCGTTCTCGGCTTATCTAACCTGGTCTATGGGCACATGAGCATCATGAGCATGAGCTTGCTCTGGCACATTGTCGTTGGGACGGGAATTCATGCAAATGCGAGAATACAGCATGCTTGCCATTTCAGATTAACTAATCTTTATTATCAGAGACTTAGTGGACACTAGTATAGTCTGCGCGCCTATGTGGCAAAGAGAAATAATAAAGTCGCGCCCTCCTCCCAAGAGCAACATATATGGGTATATAACATCAAAATAACCAAAGACAACGGAATCTCATTCTCCGTCGTCCTGGAGCTGTTGGACCAGAGCGCCAACAATGTCCCGCATCCGTTGGGTCGAATCACACACAGCCTCATATGGTAGAGGACCGAGAAGAATAGTATAGGCCGCCCAATGGAGAACACTAAGGCAGCCGAGGGTGTCCCATCCATGAGAGACCTCCGACCCGTCTCTCGGGAGCTTGCACGGGTTCGTCGCTTCCAGAGTCGACATCCATATCCACATCCATGTCGGTATAAGATTCCTGGGGTGGCGAAGAGGTCGCATCGCTACCCATTGGAGCAATTGTCATGTTTATATCGAGCGTGGGTGGTCGCAGGAACGGGTTGTTGCTCTGCTCGTTCGGTCGCAGCTTCGTGAGGTGCGGACGAGAGTGAAGTGCCGGCTGGGAAGGTTGGAAAAATTTGTGTAGCGTCTGCTGGCGGGGATCAAGGGTTTCTGGAGTTGGGAGAGGTTCAGAGTCCATGTCTTGCTCGTCTGCGACACCAATTGGGGTCTGCGCTGGACGGGTTTGCTGGGCAGTGAATAACCAGCGCAGGGTGTTTTCTGCATTAGTGGTTAGACAATGTCAGTAGCAGAACCACTCCCATGTACTGACCATAGACTACTTTCTCGTCGGGGCGATCATTCCTGAACCGCTTTCGCGTCCGACTATGAAGATGTTTGGGAGAGTCGTCCATGGCGAATGTGTATCCGGGGAGAGGGGTGGGCGAGGCAGGCGAATTGATGGCCGAAAGCGATGCCTTGCGCTTGAGAGACATGGTTCCGTGGGTATATACTTGACGACGAGAGTGGAAGTATGAAGCAGAGACGTAGTGCTGTTGTTCAATGCAGCGCCGTGCAGCAGGGCGGAGGCTCGTGTGAAGGAAGAGCTGTTGAAAAAAGCATGCAACGCGCAGAAAATAGAATAAGCCACTCAGGAGGTCCCGGTCTACTTATGCTGAAGAAAGTGATGCCCTTGAGAGAGAATGGAGGGGAGCGGGAGGAATGGAAGGCTGGATGCTGGACGGGTTTTTGGTGTGGTTGGAGCAGCGCGTCGTGACATGCCGGATTAGGAACGAGCACCGCGTCGTTCCACTATGCCGCATTGGGATTAATTGATTGTCATCCTTTGAAAACTGACAGTAAGCAGGCAGTGGACGAGGACAGAAAATTGCGATAGATAGCATGGTCGCTTGTTTGATTTGTCTCTATCGATATTCTGAATAGCGAATAGTCTTTTCTTGAGATGGCACGCGACATTCGACGATAATATCTTCGCGCAACATACCTGCGTCTCGCCATCAAATTTTAAGAATAGTATGTGACGTATGTATTGATCATAATTGAATGTCATAATCTTATAGAATTAGTCTCTAGGGAGTAGATATATCTGGATTTGTTTGCACCTGATGCTTAATAGCCGAGATATATATACATCCATCTAGACAGATATAGATCAATAAAAGTATGTGAATGATAGGACGAGCCGAAAGAACACCAAGTTGCGAAATGAGATACCAACAAATGCCGTCTTCTCTTCTATCTATATCTGCTACCCAGGTAGTACTAAATATACTAAATATTGATCGATGTCGGCATGCCGCTATATCGGCATCCCGCGGGGATCCAAGGCCAACTCCACACCTCCCGCTTCCCCGCTTCTTCCTCAGCTCTTCTACCTGCCAGCTTCTTCACTTCACACCACGTCTCATACCTCCCTCTCTTACATCAAGTGCTCTTCGAAGAAATCAGCAGAATGGAACCCAGAGACGCCTCCCACGCTGGTTCGTGGTATTCAGATAGCCAACGCACCCTGAGCCGTCAGCTGGATCAATGGCTGGCCCAAGTCCCCGATCAGATTGAAGGCCTTGGATCCATGCCCATTCCCGGCGCACGAATCATCATTGCTCCGTATGGCTACGACATGTCGTCTTCTGGATACTCTGCTGACTTTCTAGCCATGCCGGCTACGCATACTCAGGTCCCTGCGCAGCTTATGCCTACAAAGCGTTGGATTTGTCGAAAGCGTAAGAACCCCAAACCGTCGTCCTTCACGACCACGACTTACGGGATACTTCCTATATGCAGTAAACGAATCTTTATTCTCGGACCGTCGCACCACCACTACCTGTCCACCCTGGCTCTTCCAGAGCTTACATCCTACTCTACCCCGCTCTCCGATGACCCCCTCCCTCTGGACACCGAGTTGATCAATAAACTCCTCGCCACCAAGGCAACCAGACCCAACGGGTCCTCCGTCGGTTTCACGACCATGTCTCGCTCCATCGATGAGGACGAACACAGTATCGAGCTTCATCTCCCCTACATCCATCGACGGCTGCAACTGCAGTACCCGGATAAGCCGACCTCCGAGTACCCGCCGCTCGTACCGATCATGGTCGGGAGCACGTCCGCGTCGACTGAGAACGCCTTTGGGGCTCTTCTCGCGCCGTATCTCGAGGACCCGTCTAACGCATTTGTCATCAGCTCGGACTTCTGCCACTGGGGCTCCCGTTTTCGGTACACTTACTACGTCCCGCAGGCCCCCAAGCCTGGACCGCGATTGCCGCTCTCTGCCGAGGATCTCCCGCAGCCCGGCGATGAAGCGAAGGAGGTGGAGGAAAAGGTGGAGATGGTCTCGGCGGGCCAAAGCCTCCAGCGCGGAGACCGGATCTCCAGCAGAGAGCCGGCTATCCACGAGAGTATCTCGGCCTTTGACATCGCAACGATGGCTGCCATCACTACGGGGACTACGTCCAAGTTCCTGGATATACTCCAGAAGACCGGGAACACGGTTTGCGGGCGTCACCCCATTGGCGTGATCATGGCCGCTATTGAGAGTGTTACGAGCCAGGAGGAGAGTAAGAAGGGAAGATTCCATTTCATCCGGTATGAAAGAAGCTCCGATGCAGTCGATGTGACGGATAGCTCGGTGAGCTATGTGTCTGCCGTTGCTGTGCTGTAGGCCTGGCTTTTGATGCGAGTCGCTCTCTCAGCCATGACATTGCTGTGACTAACCTAATATCATCCTATGAACATTGTTACTCAATTCATTATTATGTGGTTCAATTGCCTCGACGTAGTGAATGGGTTCGGCCGCATCTCTATCAACCCCGGGCAACATGGTAGAGGCAACCCCCCTCCATCTAAGTTCCCCTCAGCAGTTGAACGACAATGAAGCCTAATGTAGACACCAATGCATTATCAAGACTTACATGGCGCACCATCACCCGCGAGGCTCTGGGCTAGCCATCGCTGCAAGAGGATGAGAGTGGGTTGGATTTAAGTAAGAATGGCATGGCGCTTGACCTGTCCTGCCTGCGCGAGAGTTGATATCGTTCGACGTAGTCTCCTCATAATCAAAACCAACAGAGACAACGCACCAGAGAATAGGCATAGTATGCTGTCGGTGGCAAATTATGCCGTCTATCACGAATGGGAGTTTTGGTCTTCATTAGCATGAGTTGTGTCTGAAGGCTTCCGTGCGAATATAGTACCCGAATAGCTCCCGCCCATCAATATCTAGTCGAATCCAGTCATCAGCCTTTGTTTCAAAGCTGCAAAGTCATTCCAGATGAGATATCCGTTCGTCCAAAGCATTGCCTACCCGGAACAATGATTGATAGATTATCTCGGCATGGACAGGCTTTGTCTGTTTCATACTCAAAGAGTCGTTTGACAAAGAGTGGCCTCAAGGGCGCCTTTCTTCTCGATAATGCCTGCATCGCCTTCTCATGTGGTGGCCTCTTGACATATTGTTTCAAATCTGACCTCACAGAGATATCCTCGCTGCTGCAAGGGGTCGTGTCGAAGAGATAGAAGGCGTCAACACGTCCTTGGTGAAGCGCACTCAATTAGTTCCTCCAACGCAGATCAGATACAAGCAGTCTGCAGTTTGCAGTATGTTATCTCCATACCAAGCAACACATAGCTAACAATGACAGACATGTTATCCAATATACTCTTCTTGACTATCCTAGTCTCCTCAGCATTAGCTTCTGTTGTCCCCAGGGCACAAAATGAATCCAGTGGTACAGACAACAAGCTAGTCTTCTGCCATTTCATGGTAGGTTCCCACCCAGCCACACTGACACCCTACTAAATACCATGCACAGATGGGCATCACCAGCAACCGAAAGAACGCCTCCGACTACGACGATGATATGAAGCGCGCGAAGGCGCTGGGGATTGACGCGTTCGCGCTAAACATCGGCGTAGACTCGTACACCGACACCCAGCTCCAGTATGCATACGCATCGGCTGCCCAAAACGATATGAAAGTCTTCTTATCGTTCGACTTCAACGGGTACCACATTGGCCAGGCTAGCGCCGTCGGCGCAAAGATCAAACAGTACGCAAATCTACCGGCCCAGCTCAGAGTAGACGGCAAGGTCTTTGCGTCGTCGTTTGTGGGCGACGGTCTTGACATTGCGGCCATGACGGCCGCTGTCGGTACAGACGTCTTCTTCGCGCCCAATTTTCACCCCGGTCAGGGCGACTTCAAGGCCATACAAGGCGCCCTGAACTGGATGGCTTGGGACAGCAATGGGGAGAACAAGGCTCCGACAGCGGATCGGAACGTGACCGTCGCTGATGGAGACAAGGCGTATAACGACGCATTGGGTGGGAAGCCGTACATCGCGCGTAAGTCATTGCATGCTTACCTCGAGAAATCCTATTGATGTGACAGCTGCCTCCGGCTGGTTCTTCACGCACTTTGGCGGCGAGGCGTCGTACAGTAAGAACTGGGTGTTCCCCTCCGACCGCCTCTGGTTCGACCGCTGGCGACAGATCCTCGAGCTCGCTCCCCGATTCGTGGAGATCATCACCTGGAACGACTACGGCGAGTCGCATTACATTGGCCCACTGGCGTCTCCGCATACCGACGACGGGGCGTCGAAATGGGTGATGGACATGTGAGTGCCGGTAGATATCCAAGACGCAGGTCTAACCACGCGCAGGCCTCATTCCGGCTGGCTGGAGATGTCTAAGCCGTTCATCGCAGCGTACAAAGCCGGAGATACATCGGTCGACAGGTACATCAAAGACGAGAAGTTGATCTACTGGTACCGGCCCACGCCGAGAGATATCGACTGCGACTCGACCGACACGACGGTGACAGGCAGCCCCGGCAACGCCAGCGGCAATTTCTTCCGCGGCCGGCCGCACGGATGGGAATCCATGCGCGATGAAGTGTTTGTTGTTTCGCTGCTCACGGCGCCGGGCACGGTCGAGGTGACCTCGGGCAGCAACACGCACCGGTTTGACGCTGAGGCCGGAGCTCACGCCTTCTCCGCGCCGATGGGAATCGGACCGCAGAAGTTCGCGCTCAAGCGGGATAACAAGACCGTCATGGCCGACACGAGCCTCAAAGACATCGTAGACACTTGTGTCTGTGGCGTCTACAACTTCAACGCTTATGTGGGCATGGTCCCGCCGGAGAAGGACATTGACCGGCTGCAGCCCGATGGACTGGTCATGCTGACCCAAGGGCTGACGGTGCCCTGTCCGACCAACACACTGGGCGCGCGTCCCCGTGCGACCTCACTGCGTGATTTTGTCTGATTTCGTCGTTGAACAGTCATGGGTCGCTCTTTTCTGGGCCGTCCGTTGTCACTGTCTCTTATCGTTCGTGTATGATTATGCTGCCGTATGTCGAATAGAACACTCCTTACAGAGGTTGAGCTGGATTGGCGGTGATCTTATCTTCTGACAATCGCAGAAGTATGAAGCAGGGGATGTCGTTCGAGTAGGATTACCTCCTGAATCCTTCTGGTGCGGAAGAAGTCGGGAGAATGACCCCGGACGATAACAATTAAGGTACGGAGCGAAGAGTCTATCGTTATCAGCGATGATCAGTCGCTATCAAAAACAAATAAAGGAGACTGACTCACCGACTCTTTCACCGTTCTGATAATACACTCTCTTCTCTCCCTACAATAAATAATAGATAACTAGGATGCGTCCTTTTTCTTCTGTGAGACTGCGCGATTATTCTCTCTTGGCCTCTTGCGCTTACACTCGGTCGACGCCTGCGTCTTTCCCCTCTCTCTCTCCTTCTCTCCACCATCTCGCGTGATCGACTTCCTCCCTGTCACGTCTTCTTTTCTTTTCCCAGGTACACATCGTCTCATGGAGAGCGCAGTCTTTTAACATGTCGTCGCACGAGTGAGTCGTCGGTGCTGGGATAGCCTATTCTTTCTTTGATTATCGTTCTATCCATACAATAATTGCGGCAATGGCGCGGATCAAAACGGGGGTGTTTTCGTGGGAGGACGTGCTGGCACAGCGGTACCAAAGTGAGCCATCCCGTCTCTCGTCCTTCCCACGATAAGCCCGCGCTAACATACCAGACAACAAACCAACCGCATTATCCTCCCGGCCAAAACGACGCAGCGAGCATGCAGAATCGGACCCTGCGCGCACAGACGCAGACGATCACGGCACAGAAGTCGCGCACGCCGCACCCGCATCCCAGTCGCAATGCAGCCTGCTGTCGAAGCTGTCGCCCGAGCTGCGGCTGCTGATCTGGGAGATGGTGCTGGGCGGGATGCGCATCCACATCATCCAGCGGGCGAATCGGTGCATGGGGCACGTCGTTTGTCCGCGCACCGCGGCCTGCGAGATTTGCCAGGGCGGCCGGGCGCCGTCGCCGACACCGACGCAGTCGGCCATTCTGGCGCTGTCGCTGACGTGTAAGCAGATGTATGTACCTTGACCTCTCGTGTCCGTGACCATGGCCATGGCATGGCAATATTCTGATACCTGCAGATACTGCGAATCGATCCGCCTGCTCTACGCGCTCAACACCTTCGAGTTCAGCAACACATGGTCGCTGACATACCTGCACCCGACGGTGCCGACCGAGCTCTGGGACTCGATCCGCGACGTGGAGCTGCGCTGGGCGTTTCCGGGCCACTGGCTGCCGAGCAAGGACCCGGTCAAGACGGTGTATTTCTCCGCGGGGCGGCAGCAATGGGTCGAGACGTGTCAGGCGCTGACGCGCATGAAGAGCCTGCGGACGTTCTCGCTGCAGCTGAGTGGCAGCTGGTTCTGCGAGCCGGTCGAGAAGATCCCTGTGTTCTTGGAGCCGCTGCGCGACTTGAAGCTGAAGCAGGGGTGGAAGTTGCAGCTGCCGCGGCAGCCGTATTACGTCAAGGAAATGCGGGCCATCGATGGGGACTTGCGGAAGCGGGGGATTGATTGTTTGATTCGGGCTGCGTGACTGCGTATGTATGTGATTGAGGCTCGTGGAGTACGGCTGTTTAGCGTAAACATCGTCGGTTGCTCGAATCTAATTGGGTGTCGTAGATCTATACAGGGTCACCCTGTTTGAGGCTTCAAGTGGATGTGATGCTTACTGCGTGGAATGGAAGTATACCATGTCCGATTGGTCGCTGCAGGTTTGCTCGAACCAAGTATACCGTCGCATCGAGGGAGTATCAATGCTCACCGCATGACCCTCATCGCAGGGAAGAGAGCGATAGTACGCTTCTCATCGGTATGCTGTACAACATCAGCTCGTATAGTGTCAAGTGAGTCTTCACGAGTAGGCTTCTGCCCGACGAGGTATAAAGTCTCCTGTCTATCTCCAGATCCTCTCCCTCTTCCTCACCAGCTCAAAGAGAACAATTCCAACTATCGCAACAGCAACATCCACACCTGCAAACAAACTCCATCATGAAGCTCTCCATCCTCGCCACTCTGGGCCTCCTCACGTATGAATCCCTCCTCCCCTCCCTCATACCCGGTCCACATACTCATCAGATGTAGACTCGCCTCCGCCCTCTCGTGCGGAGACCAAGCCGGCTCCAAGGGACCGCGCTGCGTCAAAAGGGACACCAAATGCCCGGACGGATTCCGGCCGGTTTTGTACGACGACCCCAAGCCCTGCAAGAAGGGTCAGCGCTGCTGCGTGCAGTGATACGTGCACGCCATCACCGTGTAGGGTATGACACCCATGATGACAGAGTGACGGTTGACGGTTGACGGTGGGCGCTTGGCAGAGTTATTGTTAACAGAAGAGCGAGGAGCATCAATCAAGGCTATCTTGTCCCTACGTAGTCGAGCATAAATCGACAGTATACTCCGTAGGGCATAATAAACATTAAATCGTGTAGTAAGCAATGTTAATAATAATTATGCAGATTAAGGTACTCGGACCCGAGCCAAAACCTGGCCAATCAGGCTCGGCCAAACGACCCCGCTCTCCACAGCGCCGTGCAGATCCCATCCGTGCTGGGAGATCGCTCGGCCTATAAATAACCACCGCTGGACCCTAGCGCATCGCGGGGAGAGCAAAAGGGAAGAGCCAGAACAATCGTAATTAAACCGACGGACCCTGTCCAGGGTCCCGCCTCTATCGGTCCCGCACTAGTAACGCGTGGCTGTCTCGGATTCGGCCGGTCGGCGGTTGTTCCTGGACCGTGAGAACTGCCACGTCCCCCCTTTAATTACAGGATCATACGGAGTACAGCCCCATTGTGTGTTGGTACGCGTGAAACTAGAGAATAGCCTGAAATCAGATCAATATGGTTTGTCTTGATCAGTGTATGGTTCAGTTAATGCACAAGGTAGCCACTTCGACCCATCCACCCGTGGCTCATCAACATAAAGAACCCCTTGCCATGAAAGAAATGATAAAGAATGATGATAATAAGGAACTAAAAGGAAACATTACGGGGCTCATGTTTCTATTTTTTCGCTGCTCTGTTATCAAGAGAATTCTTGACTCCAGCAAAAGAATAAAGAGAGGAAAGGTTT